GAACAGTCCAGCTCCATCCTCTTTGGAACCACCCTTCAAGTGGTTGAAGGCTGCTATCAAATCCTGCCCCCTTCCCCCCATGAGGTCTTGTTTTCTGAAACTAAATAAGCCCACTTCCCTCAGCCTCCCTTCATGTGCCCCAGCCCGCTCACCATTTTCATTGCCCTCTGCTGGAGTCTCTCCAATTTGTCCACATCCTTCCTGTAGTGCAGGGCCTAAAACAGGACACAATACTCCAGATGTAGCCTCACCAGTGCTAAATAGAAGGGAATAACCATATCCCTTGATCTGCTGGCAACACTCCTACTAATGCAGCCCACTATGCTACTAGCCTTCTTCAAACAAGGGCACACTGCTGGCTTATAATGGAGAGATTCACACATGGGGTGCTTGCAGATGTAAAATAAACAAATAAATAAATAAATAATAGTGTTTTACTTTAAACTTGTTGTGTTCCCACCCCACGCCCCACACATGCCCAGAGGCAGCACGTTACTTGCACCCAGCTTGCCCAACATCTGTAAAGACCTGGTGCTCTAGTGGGGCTTTTTTGGTGCTTTTATCTAACAGCTGATCAAATCAGCCTTAGCTAAAATCGCCAAAACCCAGCTGAAGTTCCCAATTTTTACAGAGGCTGCAGAGTGGGGCTGAAATAACTCGCTGCTTCTTCCAGGAAAGCAGGGGTTGTTTAACATCTGGAAGCAGCCATAACGGATCTAGGATTTTGAAAACGGGGTGCAGGTGATGTGGTGTGTCATCACATTGCGACACATTTTCCTCCAGTTAAACTAGAAATTTTTTCAGTATGCTAGGGGCCTAGGGCTGTATTATTCCATTTAAGATCAAAGTAAAAACCCCTCTTACCTTCGGTAGAATGGTCTCTAACTTGCTAGATTACATATTTATATGAGCCATGTTTAAACAACACAAGAAACTAGGCAAAAATAACCAATCTAGGCAGAAGATCCTGCTGCATTAGCCCTGTCATCATGGTTAGATGTGCAGCACAGGATCAAATTCACAAAACAAACTCTAGCCTTCCTGGGCATCCTGACAGCGCTAGGGACAAGGCTTCACTGTCAGACCTTTCTGCATTGGAAGGAATATGATGGCCCTCAGCAAAGGCTTTTAGCTTGAGCTGCAAACAGCCTGCAGGGCTGGGACACAGGACAGGGGCCTCACCAGGAAGGGCCAAGGGCAAATGCAGGGCCACAAGAAAGGAAGGCGAAAAGGGCAGGGCTGGATTAACCCTTTAGTGGGCCCTAGACAAACTCAGGCCCCTAATTTTTTCTCACTCAATAGTTATAATGTGCAAAATAAGCACAACTGGGCCACTCCTTCACATAGAGCCTTGGGCATGTGCCTAGTTTGCCTCTGCCTTAACCCAGCCCCGGCAATGTGCCAAGCACCAGCCGTGCCCTGGCACAGGGGAGTGGAGCGGGTCGTTTGGGTGAGGAGACCCCAGCAGGATCCAGAAGCTCAGGCCGCGGGGAGGGGAATGAGCTCCCGCAGCGCGGCCCGCACAGAACCGCGGGGTCAAGCCCGCCCGACCACCTATGAAGCGTGACATTGGAGCAGACACAAGACAGGAGGGAACACCCAGCGCCTCCGCGCTCCCGGCCCAGCTGCTCCGTGCCGGCCCCGCCTCAGCCCCTCCCGCCGTAGCCGGCACCTCTAGAGCAGGGGCGTGGAGACCCCGCGGGCGGACCAACGGCCGCGCCGCGCAGCCGCTCAACTGCAGCCCGGCCCTCGCGTGCACTGGGAGGGGGAGGCCGCAGCTAGCGCGCGGACAGTCAGCTAGAGGCGGATGTGCAGTACGGTAGGGGCGGGGCTACGACTCGACTGCAGAAATGATTGGTCCAAATTCGTGGGGGCGGTGCTGGCAGCGGTCACGGCCAAGTGAGCGCGACTGGGGAGGAGGCGAAGGCGCTGCGTTGGGAGTGGGCACTAAGAAGACCCAGCAGCGGCAGCGCATGAGGCGGTGCTGCCCCGGGCGCAGAGCTGCTCTGTTGCGATCTTGCCCCTCTGCTTAGTCAAGAGGACAAATGTAGCAACAGGTCCTTCGTGCACGGTAGATGTAGGGTGTCCCTGCCTGCCGGACGGGAGAAGTGGCAAGGCACTAACAAGGTCTGTGGGAGTTGCACAACAAGCTGTAATAAGTCAATCACGATTCAAGGATAGTCCTTGCACAACAGGAGTCAGAGCTCGGGTTTACAGCTGACACCTAGAGCTGGGGCTAGCAGGTTTATTGCTGCACAACCTGCACCTGAAAACGAGGCAGCAGGTTTGGGGGTCAGCTCTGGGTGTGACATAAGAGAACATGCACATTTTGTTCCTAGTGGAAAAGAGGAAAGACAAAGGTATCTAGGAAATAAAAAGACAGAGGGCAACAGGATTCTAATATTTTAACTGGATTACATTTCTGTAAGTCATAGCACCCAGTGATAGTAGCTCTCATACCAGCAAAATACAGTAGGTTGCCTCATCAGAAAGATACCTTACCTCTAAGCCCCATGGGTCTTTCTACTTGCCAGGTAGCAGATTTGAAGAGTACAACATGGCAAATGCAAAATACTGAGGGATGTTATGCAACATACTTATTTTATTGATCAAATGGACAAGTACTGTTATACAGATTTATTCAAATTTACTAAAATTCAGAACAGACTCATCAGTATATGAATAAAAACAAGACTATGGTCATTACATTAACACTTAGGTAAGCAGTCATATCCATTGATTTTTGTATTCCTGTATGTTTCATTGCATTAGTGCACTGTTATACTAAGAAGTGAAATGTTCCCTAATCCCCTGAACTTGCTCCCGTAAACTATGCTACCTGAATGTAATTATGAAGCACCAGATCAAAAATCTTTCTTAGTATTTATCCTCTAGGCCTATCACTCAGTAATGCTTCTGTTCCCTGTAATAGTAGTTTTCATTTATCTATGATCAGACACAGAGAGAAAATATGTAAAATGAAAAACAGCTGTGTTCATTAGAATGTCAGGTAAAAGGATTTTCTTAAGATAATTTGGAAATGCTGGTCCCAGTCCTGGAAAAACCAATCAACATAACTGAGGCTTGTATAATACTACAGTGTATGGTTCCACATTGGTATGGGAGCAGGACTGGGGCCTTGATCCATTTTGCTGCTTCTGTTGCTCCCATTACTATAGTTCTAAGCATTTAGCACCCTTCTAAAACGGGTGTAGGAGATCCAGTCCATAGAGCCCCATCTGGTGCCTGGGTCTTGAAGCTGACCCACTCAGCATGCACCACAACAGCCCCATGCACAGGGCCCAGGACATGCGCTGCACATAGTGCCTTCCCTGGCTAGTTTGGGATGTGTGGCACCCTGGGCCCTGCTCAAGTCAGTCTAGGACCTGCAGCACCTGCCTCATCTAATCCAAACTGGTCACCACATACAGCATGGGTCCTGAACCAGCTGGAGTAGGAGCTATGTGCAGTGTGCATCCCAAACTGGCCCTACATCTGCCTCCAGTGGTGCCACAACCTCAACAAAGTAGCAGCCTGTTTCTCGGTAAAGTATCTTGCCCTCAAAGCAGAGAAGAGAGAACAGAGGAAGAAAAAGCAGAGGAATACTAGTCTGCAGACTACCGTCCCCTGCAGAAAGACCTGCAACTTCTGTGGCCAGAGGATTGGACTCTTAAGACACGACAAGGCCCACTGATGGGCCATGGTAGAGATCATCCTAAAATCAAGGGATTGCCAACCATGCAAGGGTGCTGCATATGGCACAATCCTGAAGCAGGTGCCATGCACACTGGATTCTGCATGGCCGAAGGGCCTGTGGACTCAGTCTGGCCTCCTATCATTCATCCAGCCCATGGGCTGGCCCCATGCCACATACCCCTGCCCACAGGGCCAAAAGAGTTTGACAGAATCAAAAGTGACTACTGTCATTTAAGCAAGACATGCTCTTCTATTTGGTTTTGTCATTTATATGATATATAATTATACATATGTAAATCAACTTATAATATCTGATCCTGAGTTATTAAAAACAAAGATTTAAAATGGTGAATTTGTATGGCAACAAAGCAACCCATTAAATCAAAAACAAATCTTATAAATAATGAGACACCAGACACTGGAAATGTACTTTGCAATGAGTCTTGAAGACTGTCAAACTATACATTTATAGAATGTAATTAGGGACTTATTCCACAGATTATGGTTATAGAGCAGAGTGATTTTTGCCACAAAACCCATTATTGTTGCAGTAGTGAGAGTCAATCCCCTGCTCACCTTTGAAAATCTAACCTATGACTCTTCATAGAAAATGCCCAATCACATGCTCCCTGAAGTCCAACTTTGTGACCAAGAACACAAATGCACCCAACCTGCCATTATGGAACAAAGAACAGAATCAGAGGTATTTGGCATTAAGGGAGATAAAGACTACCGTCAACTTGAATTGCCACTCAAAAACCTATAGAAAGCCAATACAGCCCAGGCTATATGTTCACATCATATCTTTCTTATGAACAGAGGACATCTGCATTCTGAATTTGCTCAAAATTCTACCCTGAACTTCAAGTTGAAGATGAAAGTGCTCAGTCTCAGTGCTGAACTAAACCAGTGAAAACCATTTCTGACCACTGGGATCTGTTGGGGAAAATTAAAGAGCCATGATGAAATCTGTAAAATCTTGAGGTTAAAAACACTCAGCTAACAGAGTTTGGTTCAGTGGATAATACCACTGGACAGAGAAATACTTAATTATTCCCAAGAGGATGACTTGGAAAAATTCAGTTGGTCTAGACCAGTGGTCAACGACCAGACAATCTTGATCGACTGGTCAATTGTGGAGCCTCTGACAGTTGATCTCAGTCTGTCAGAGGCTCCATGATCGGGAACAGCAGGACGCACGTGGCTGGGCTGAGCCACACCCCCTGCCACCCGGGCTGGGCTGGGTGAGGGGTCAGAAACCAGGCAGGTTGTCCAGGAGGCAGGGGGGCGGGGCAGATCCTGGGGTGCCAAAAAGCAATCTTCACTATAAAAAGGTTGGAGACCACTGGTCTAGACTTTGCAGACTGGGGAGTAACCACCTCTTGGTTCCTACCATAACTATGATATTAAAATTTAAAAACTTCTCTATACAGCAAAACATCTAATTAAAAAAATGTCTTTCACCAATATCTATTCCCTCCAAATTCCTCTGCTTCATCTACCATTGTGACCCATTTGTAAAATAAGGTTATCTGCCAGGCTGACAGGAGAAAGAAGCATCTAGGTTCCAGTGCATTAACAGATGTGGACAAAAGGACTGGTGGGCTATTGGGAAACAATGATTTAAGTGCTGCATAGCATTACCTCCTATTAAACTAGATCCATTAGTTCCTGAAGGTTGCCCATCAAAATATGCCCATCATTTAGACTGGAATAAAGTAGACCCTGACCTGTTACAGTGAGGCAACAGAACAGCTGTCTGTCGTTTAAATAAGTAAGGGGCAGAAGAAATTTATTTATTCATTCAGTCAAAGCTTCTATACCTCTGCTTAAAAGCATAGTAAAGAATCGTCTCTCTGACAGATAGGGGCACCTTGTTTTAATGAGCTCCTTTCTAGTCCTTCTGGAAATATAATTAGGGTATTTGGTGGCGTAGCAACACTGAGAACTCTTTTCAAGTCAGTTTGGGGGTCCATTGCATATTGGAATCTTTCCTGTTCTTGTGGTATCTGCTGGGACAGCAATGACTGGTCTATGGGAACAGCCCAGGGAACATAGGATTCAGGTTCATCCCATGGAATCTAGAAGGAAGAACAAGAAATCCTATTATGTTAACACACTGTATATGCATTCCTTGTTCTAAAATGCACCTTCAGTACTAGAAGAAAGTAAGAAAATAGAAATTTATTATGAATGTCATAATCAAAATGTTCATGTACGGTGCCATATGGACAGCATTACAGACTTAAGTCTAAGGTATTGTATTATCAGTCATGCAAATACACCAGTAGTTCTCGACCAGGGTGCTACAGCAGAGGTACCCAGATTCCTTCTGCCTTCAGAACCAATGTTCTGTAGGTCAGATGCTACCTGGATTTACATTTTGGTAATGCTACTGTATTTAGATTATGTTCTCAGCAGCTGTAGACTACATTTATTTTTCCCCGAAGTGTAACTGATTGAATCTTAAATTATTCTGCAGATGCATAAAAAGGAAATGACTTCAGTTGAATCTGTGTGAGTAGTTATGACAGAGTACACAAAACAAGCAGATCTTTTGAGTAATATAGAGTCTTCTTAGTAACTTGTCAGAGCAGAATTGTATATCAAAGGCAGCAGCTATGTATTCTTAAATACTCTGGCAAGAGGATTGCTATGAAAAAGGCTTCAGACAAGTCTTAAATCAGTCTGAAACTAATAATGGTATTTGACATTATAAAACTGGAAAACACCCATAAAGAATAGAAGATAATGAATGTAGGAACATTTCCAAAAGAAAATAATTCTATACCATTTTAGTAAACTGGTCAACACATGCCATTCGAATCCGTTCAGCAGTTGATGGGCTATGAAATGTGAAGATTCCAGTTATCCCTCTTTCCTGCCGTGCTGCAGCCACGGCATCCTTTATAGCAAAAAACACTGAGCACCCCAGGAACAGAGCGGGCTCACCAACAGCCTAAGAAGGAAATAAAATTATTAACTTATTTTAGAAGTAGTTAGACTAGAAAAATATATGTAGGCCTAATGCAACTTTAATGTCAAATCACAAGCCAGGGGGGAAATAATGGATTGTATATATATGTGCATGTCAGGCCAGAGTAGCCAGAACCCTGAATATGTATGAAGCTACTTGAAACAAAGGTTCTCTTTAACCAAAATTTGAAGTTTCAAAAGGCCAAAGATATAGCTGATTGGTATATCCAACCTTGTTTGAAAAATAGAAAATAAAAGGAATAGAAGTCTAAAGATATTCATATTTATGTAAACAGTTAATGCATTTAAAATTAGAATATAAGAATGGGATACAATTATAAAGAGATCTTTTTCTTTTAGCTAAGCAAAGTATAATAAAATATAATCTAAAGAAAAAATCACTGGTTAAATAAAAATCCTTTCTAGAACACATTATAAATCTTATCGAAGATCTGTATTATTATGGAACAATTTATTCTGCATAATAACTACTATTCATAAATTCTTATGCTTACCTTGGAAGAGTAGATTGCATTGGGGTTTTGAGAAGACGAAAGCAAGGACACACTGAATTGTTCTGGGATATCACAGACTGCAGGAATTTTATACTGATCTGGGCCCCGAGTATAGAGCACTCCTTCTGGGGAGTACTTTAATTCTTCCATTGTATAAAGCCCAAGGCCTTGAACAAAGGCACCTTCAATCTGAGGGTAATTATATACAGTTAATCATACAACAGTGTTATCTGGGTGTCTTTTTGTTTCAATATTGAAGAGCTGGCACCTTGTCTTTAATTATAATATATTCATAATCAAGTCATAAATGTTGTTTTGGATATCAACCTGAATAAGTTATATAAAAAAGCATTAAATAAAAAGCATAGTGTATTAGAAAATAAGGTTTTTATTTTTTTATTTTGAACCTCCAAACCAGAAACTGCTCAAAAAGTATCTTGCATTTTTTAAACTGAAATTTATGAGCGCTCAAAGGTGAAACTATAGATAGAGGAAGAGTGAAGTACAGGATGAAATTTGAACAAAAACATTTATGAAAAGCAAGAGGAGGAGAAGGAACAGCAGCAACATCTAGGAGGGAGGCCTCATGCTTCATAGATCAAATTTCAATTATACTGCCAATCTATGAGTTTGATACATACTTGTCCTATATCTACAGCTGGATTTAGACTGCAACCAACATCCATAATTATATCTGTTCTGATGTTCTGAAAAATAAAAAGAATTATTGAGAAAGATATAATCAAATAAACGAAAGAGGTGACAAAAAATTGACATTTTTATTGGTACAAATATTCTACCCTTTTCCTAAAACACATGAAATGTAGGTAACAGAAGATGTAGTTGTTGTAGAGGAAGAGGATTAATTTGTAGGGCTGTGCAAAGCTTCATCCCTGATTTGATTCGGTGGAGATTCGGCCCAATTCGGTGGCCAAATCTAATCTCTGAATCCGAATCAAATCAGGCGACCCTTTAATCTCTCCAGATTGAATCAGAACCCTCTGAATCAATTCAAAGAGATTCAGAAAGATTTGGCGATTCAGATATAGACACACTTTTAAATGTTTTTTCTACATACCTCAAGGTACCAGGTGGCTTGTGAATGCTGCAATGGTGGGCCGGGTGCAGTGTCCCACAGGAACATGGGGGGCTCCCCAGTGTGCTTGGCAGCAGATCCAGAAGTGGACCAGAAGCACTTTTGGTCCACTTCTGGGTCCACCAGGGAGTGCGCAGGCCCGCCCCCCCCCCCCCCC